CTGTCCAGGCCTACACGAGATGAGGCAGGATAAAGAGGGATAATCCCCCTCGATCCCAAATCATTGAGGCCAATTTCTAGCCATAGAATAATGGCGCGCGACTGAGCGCCGGGCTCCAAATCAGGCTCCAAAGTGTTTTCACCAAAGTCGCTCTATAAGCCAGTCTGAGCCAGTCTAGGTGGTTTGTGGTTCGAACGTACTTAACGCCAAGGGACGTTCCAATATCTCTAATAGAGAGATGAAGTGATGAACTCGATTACTTTCGATCCTGCAATTAACGGTTACCGAGCACTTACCGTTACCGAGTAACAGATACTTACATTACAAATTGACATAACATCTGTCATCATTGAATTAAACCGACTAACCTAAAAGTTTACGTTTTCATTAAAAATAAAAACAGTTACAAGTAGCATTTAGAAATAGGAATGAAAATAATAAAAAAATGGGTGATATAAAAATTATATTAAAATGGAGTGGTAAAGAATATGAAATCGAGATAAACGAAGGTGACAATGTGTTGGATTTGAAAAAGGAAATCGAAAAACAGACAGGAGTTCGACCTAACAGGCAAAAGCTATTGAACTTAAAATTGAAGGGTAAAACTAAAATGAAATTAACATGTTAAATAGATAAAGTATTTTTTTATTTTCATTTTAGTAACTAAAAGAATTATTCTCTTTTATATATTAAAAAGCTACATATATATAAAGCTTTATATAATAAACTATTACTAAAAAAAGTAAAATATTTTTGCTAATTGCTGATTCATATAAATAAATAATTTTAATCTCTTGGATAAAAGCGGAAATATGATTCAGAGAAAAATATTCATTTTTAATTTAATTATTTTGGCTTCTGGTCAAGGAATTGTTAATGGACTATAATGTAGTATGGTATAATCCTAGGTAAGATGCCAGATGAAGAATGTAAACTGGGACAGTTGAAGTTAAAACAAAACTTTAAATTGATGATGATGGGATCCTTAGAAGAAGATATTGAAGAGGTTAATACAGCTCCAACCGATCTTCCTGAAGTTGTAAATGATTTAGACATAGAAGAAGAGGAAGTTGCTATAGAAAACCAAGAAGTATATCTAGCTAAAATAGAAAAGAGAATAAAAGATTATGAAATTAAAATGCTAAATGATTTACGTCTAGATAAAAAATTATTGGTATTAGATATTGACTATACATTATTTGACCACAGATCAACTGCACAAACTGGTGCAGAATTGATGAGGCCTTATTTACATGAATTTTTAACTAAAGCTTATGAAGATTATGATATTGTGATTTGGTCAGCTACTGGCATGAAGTGGATTGAAGAAAAGATGAAATTATTAGGCGTAAACAATAATCCTAACTATAAAATAGCATTTTATTTAGATTCTCTTGCAATGATCTCAGTGCATACTCCAAAATATGGAGTTATGGATGTAAGTTATAGTTCTATATTTCATAAAAAAAGTATATATACATAAGTGTTAGAGTTAATTTTAAGCACAATATTGTCAGTGAATATAATCATCAGACCTCTACGTTTTCGAGGCACAGGGTGTTGAAAAATTGTTATTTTCTCGAGTTATCTTGTGAATGGAAACAATAATTTTTTGCGTGGAGGAAATATATTGAATTACATTCTATAAAGGAGGTGATTTTAATGCTGATAGATTCATCAGTGGCATACTTATTGGATTCATTTTACTATTATTTTCAAAAAAATAATGACGCGCCAATGTTTTAATGGCAAAAGCTGATGTACTTTCTGAAAAATGCCATCCATTCAGAAATCCTGCAGCTGCAACAGAATTTTTTGTTGTGTAATCCATACACATAATGAATATTTGCATACTCTTTTTTGGTAAATCAAAATGGCATTTTAAAAATTAACAATACCTTACCTAAATTAGTTGCAAAAATTGATGTTTTTAAAACATAACGAAAAAACTGTTGACATCTGTCTGACTATCTTGAGATTAAATAATTGCAAGTAAAACTGTACAGAGCGTGTTAGATTAATGTCAGACTCAAGGGTATGTGGCATTATTTTTGAAAATAAATAGAATTTTTCGTATTGAGATAAGATTGGTGATAAAATTAAAAAAACCTTTAAGTTTTCTAAATGATTCCCAGATAAATTACCTTATAGGGAGCATTTATATGCTCAATTTTCAATGTATTTTTTGTCCAGAATTTTAGAAAATCTAAGTGTGTGTAAGACAACTGAAATCATTCAAAGTAAGGAAAAAAAAGCATATTTTTACCTCATATGTTTATCTTATATTTCCTGAATTTTGCAACATAGAAAATCACACACCCTCCATAATGCTTTTAGGAAACTATTAACGTGCATTACTAACAATTATTGAGTAATTTTACAAATTTGTTGGACACAACAGGAAAGGTATATTTTCTGTTGTTTACATGTTCTGCATGATCTTTCTCTGCAATAACAAAGCAAAAAATTGAATGAATTCTTGTATTCCAACATTATTATAATTTTGTTGGATTTTCTTGTTCCATCATTGCCATACTGAAAGTGCAATTGTCTATAAAATGCCAGCCTTAATATGCTGTAAATCAAGTCTAACAACCAGTGGCACCCTCTAGGGCTTTTAATTTTAAATGAAAAATCTCTTTTGACATTGTCTGTTATAGTTTCATGGCCAAATCGATTTTTTACATTTTTTTTTAAATTTTATCACCTTGTATCTAGGGATCATTTTTGGAAAAGTGTTATTTATTTTTAAAAGGTCTATCTTCTAGTTTCAAATCCAACATTAAATCTGTCTTATCTTGTATCGAAACTATTTTACTATATTTAAAGGAAAAATATGTTTTAGGTAAAACCTCTAGGTGTGATATGGGGTAAATTTAAACAGTTCTCCTCCAAGAACACCATAATGTTTGATGATATTAGAAGAAATTTTATAATGAACCCAAAAAATGGTTTACGCATTAAACCATTCAGGGAAGCACATTTAAATAGGGCTAAAGATAACGAGCTACTTCGGTTGTCGAAATATTTGAAAGACCTTGCCGAACACTGCAGCGACTTTGCTACAGTAAATCACAGGCACTGGGAGAAATATAAACCTAAAAGAAGACATGGAAGGGGTCATTGAATTGCTTAGTGAGATAATGTATCGATTATAGAAATTAATTATTTTTAATATACGATTAATTGCAATTTTATTTTTTGTTTTATTTTGCTAATAATAACGTTTTCTATCTACTTTCGCTATACCTAATCTTGTATTATTCTTCTTTTATGCAGTTGGTTATTTATTTTAACTTTTAGTTTAATGGTATCAAAATTAAAACGGTTATATTTTTTATAATAAAACGGGGGTCCCATCTAGGCCGACAGAGATCTTTCATGATGAAAAAATTTAATAAAATTTGCCAAATAAAATTAGAGATGGCCTGAGATCTCAAAAAAGGTTGCATTGCATTTGTAAAATATATTTTTGTTATAATCAACTGATGGATTCAATCAGTATTTTTTTTATTCTTTTGAAAAATTAATTTTTCTTCATAGTGATATGTATTTAAATTATATTTTTTGGTAACATTTAAATTTTCAAATTTTATTACTCGTATATTTGAAAAACGCATGTTTGTGTCAGTTGATTATGATGGAAATAATTTATTTTTTGCAATTAGAAGTAGATTTCTTGGAAATCTGAAGTTCAGCCACTGATATTTAAATATTTCATTTTGCAAATTTCTTTCAAAATGTTTTTTTCACAATAGTTTTCTATGTGGACCAAGAAATCACCTAACCAAAGTTTCATTATTAAAATATTACTACTTTAATTTATGCAAGCCGTCACTGATGAAAGGAGGAGGGCCCCTAAAGCCGGTTTTTGGCTGAAAAAAATCAGAAAAATTTTTTTTAGGACCTACTAGCAATACTGAATCGTTTCCATCCTAAACGGACCAACCCCCTCACCCTCCTTTCACCCCTTAAATGAGATGACGCACATTGACATTGAATAAAACAATACATGTTTGTGCATATTTTATTAGCCACTTTGAATTTCGTGATTCTGAATTTAATTGTAATCAGTGATCCAAGTAAGTTTCTATAAACAAATATTTGTTGTCCGCCATATGGAATACGTCATTTTGAATTTCGTAATTCTGCCTTCAGATTCGTAATCAGAGGCCCAAAAAACCCCACTACAAAAAAATTCATGCATTTTAAAGACATTTTAATTTTTTTGTCCGCCATATTGAATCCTCCATTTTGAATTTCGTGATTTAGAGTCCAGATTCGTAAGACCCAAAAAGCCCATTACAGAAAAATTCATGCATTTTGAAGACATTTCAATTTTCTTGTCCGCCATTTTGAATTTCGTGATTCTGAGACCAGATTCGTGATCAGGGACCCAAAAAATTCTTCATATGTAAGATTCAAAGGAATTGAATGTCTTTCGCATCTCTAAGCTTTTTAAAGATTTCTCTAATAAGCGATAGTTTCCCCGGCATTTAAGGGGGTGGAGGGGGAAAGGAGGGTGAGGGGGTTGGTCCGTTTAGGGTGGAAACCATTCAGTATTGCTAGTAGATAGGTACTAAAATAAAAAATTTCAGATTTTTTCAGCCAAAAATAAATTAGGCCAAAAACCGGCCTTAGGTGCCCTCCTCATTTGTAATGAAATTGTGATATGAACACATAAACGGTTTATAAAAAATGATAAAAACAGTTCACGATTTTTACAACATTGAAATTCATATATACTATAAAAAATATTTTAAAATATAGTCTAGTCTAGACATAAACATGAAACTCCAAATAGATTTAACTTTTTAGTTTTTTTTTCATTTCAAAAATTGAAAAAAATGAAGCAATAACGTAATTCGAGGAGTTGTCAAGGCTTGTTAAAATCGGAAAATTAATCATTTCCTCTAATTTAAAATGGTAAATAAGTAAAAATATCTAAAAAGTCTTGCAAGGGTTAAGATCGATTCTACAATAGATGCATTTCATTCTTAATCGACAAGAGGCGTCACTTTATATGCACTCTGAACTGTCGTAAAGGTATATTGTACAAAATTACGTTTATAATTTATTATATCTCGTGACATAAACATATAAAAATGTTTTATAAATACTAGAACTATTAATAATCACAATTGTAAATGTTTTTGCCATTTATTTTATTCTATTATAAGGTACATAATTTAAATTTTACTTATAGCTTTTTATTGACGTTAAAACGCTATCCAAAACTTGTCTGTTTATCAATATTTCAAAATAGTCACTCACTTTTTTGGATTTCTTGAAATAATATAATTCAACTTACTTGTCAATATAACTCAAGCTGTCAATATAATTCAATTTACATGTCAGAGTAATTAAACATTCCTGTCAATATAATTCAACTTACCTGTCATCTATTTTACAATAACTTACCTGTCATCTGTTTTAAAACTTACCTGTCATCTGTTTTACAACTTGCCTGTCATCTGTTTCACAAATAATAGATCGTTAGCTAACTTTTTCGTAAAAGCTGTGTTTAATTTTTGCCATATGGTTAAACATCAAACAAAATTTTTCAAATATCATTTAATGCCCGCTACATAAGACTATTTGCTGTGCAGTTTTTTGCAACAAAAGTTGAGACAGTTTTAAGACAAATGTTTCACATATATCTAAATTTTCATAACTTAAATACTTGATACTGTATGTATAAGGTGCTGTGTAATCTCGAATCTTTTGAGCTATCGACGCTTTATAGAAAATATTTTCAAGAATTAATTTGGTTTACGACATATTCTATTCTAAGAAATAGTGTCTATAGTTTGAGGCAGCAAACAATGTTATTTATACAAATCACTTTTAGTTTTATATTTAAATACTATTATTTACTAAATACTTACCTGCGTATGAGTGTACTTACCTGGCTTACCGTTAAAAGGTACCTACGTACCTAATATTCCAAAAAATCCTTTTTTCCGTTTTTGTTTTACCAGAAATTATATATAAATAGGTTATGTAGTTCTAAATGAATGTCTTTTGATAAATATTAAATTTTAGGTGACTGTAACACTTATAAAAAATATAAGGTCTGTTTGCATAAAATGTGTGTAACTGTAGATATACTTTAATTTTTCATATGGTATGAGTACACCATTTCGTATCCGGCACTATTTTTTTTATCGTGCATTGTACCCAGTGCCTTCGCCATATTTTTAAATATGATAGGTATATACTTCGACAACAATAAAAACATGGGATATACATTATTTTAGATTAGGTATCCTTTGAAGTATTTTATAATATACATTTTTTAGTGTTCTTAAAAAAATGCATCTTTTTTCGGACAGGTATATTAGGTAGGTACATTTTAAGAAGTTATGTATATCTTTTAATATAGGTACCTACATATAGGTAGTTTTACTTGTAACTAAATTTAAAATGTTGAAATTAAAAAGCAGTGCAAAGTAGTCGAAGAAACAGATTATTGGTCCCATTTACAGAAAATGTGAAATTTTTAATCGTTGCCAATGCCACTTGCCAAAGTTGTTGCTCCTTACTTTTGCAAATTGAATATCACTAATTAGGTACAAGTTTACTATATAAATTCTGAAATTGTATAATTATTGAATGATATTACCTGTCGTTTGAGTAATTAGACATTTTTAAAAATTCACTTCTTTCCAAACTTGATTAAACACATTAAACATAGAACGTACGTATTTTTGAAGAAACAAATTGTTGAAAAGTATAATTTAGATATTTTTCGTACCCAAATTTCAATAAAACGTCAATGATTACATTGAGAAACTATTTCAACAATGAGGTTTTAAGTTAAAGTAATACAAATATTAGGATTTTTTAAATTAGCTTTGCTTTCCTCAAACTCATAAATTTTCTTGAAAAATGAAGAAACCTGTTTAAAATGGCATATACATATTATCGCAGAAGTCATAAATCTCATTAAATTTAATGCTTTCACATGGAATAACAAAATTTGTTTACTGAAACTGTATTTACTAAATGATGTGATATAAATTCATATATTTTCTTGTTTGGAAAAGCTTCCTTTTACGTTGAAGAACTATTTTAACAAACTGTTTCTGAAGTAGGTATCTAACTAATTTAATACTAATTTACAAGGTGCCCCATATCGTGTTCAAATTATGTGGTTTAAAGTAGATTTAATTTTAAAGTTAAAGTATGTGGTTAAAGTTAAAAGTGGTCTTTCGATTTTATTTGTTCCGAAGTTACAGACCCCTATAATTATGAAATGTAAATAAACCAATTTAAATTTCTAAACCAAATAAAAACTTACCGTATTTGGGAATAGCATGATGGTGCTCCCGTTGCATGGTCACTTAGATGACCTAAAAATAATTCTCTAGATTCTTGTTTACATTAAAGAGGAATTGTAGGAGTTATTTGAACGTAAACTACGGACACCTTGTATATTAGCACAAAATGAAACTATGTAATTGTAGGGGAAAACTATTGAAATTCCCTTTCATTTTGAGCCTATTTAGGAAATTTATATTGAACTTTTTTTGCGATTGAAAAATTGTCGATATCAACATATAAAAAATGACATATTTCGAACAGGGTTTTGTCTTAGAAGTAGGAGATGAAATTGTATAAAAACAAACGGGAACATAATTCCAAAACCCTTAAATAATTCTAAATGTGCTGTTTCTAAAATCTGTTTTATACATATATACAAATTTTTGACCCAATAAATTTCTCGACAAATTGTCACAATTTGCTGTAATATTTATGACACCTGTTTACACGTTCCAATAAATTGCACAATTTATTGAAACTAGTAAATTTAACACAATGTTTGTAGGTACTACATACATGTACCAATATAACTTTGCTAAATTCTTGATTCATTTACTTATTGGAACAATATCGATAGGGGAGACCGTAGGCAGTTGTAACAGGGTACAATTATTTATACTATTAGATATATGACTACTGACAATTTTTTTTGTTTTCGATAGACCCCCGCCCTCTAATATTGAATTGTTACAAATTCCTCAACTTCAAATGTGTTTTTGACAGTTGACACAGTGCAAGTTTTTACAAGTTACAAATGTTGCGATCACAAAGCGAATAGCCTACTGCACATTTTATGAAATACATATCTAATTGTGTAGTAAATCAAATAGTTATGAAATTTTTAATAATTCTTAAACAGTCTGGTATATAA